GCCCAGGATGAGTACAACTTTTGGGAAAGCAAGGCTATGTGAAAATTCAATGGAAACGTTAGCTCAACTCATATCATTGTGGGAAAATTCTACTACCAGTCCTTCATCACCTTAGACGAAATAGGGTGAATACATTTTATATTACTTAAATAATACCATCAATAAATAACGTCTAAAAAGTTTTTTTAAGAATCCAAAGCAGGATTGTTGAACAGACCTACGCCATTTCTTGTCCTGGCTGAACTCTTTCAAAATCCGACCACACATCAGAGCATAATTTTATTTAGCCTTTAATTCTAAAACGATTTAAAAGACTGTCCAAACTAAAGCTATTGGAATCTATAAGCACCAACGTTGGACAAAAAACCTGGGTATGAGCTTAATGCGGAAACTTTAAAACTCCTCTGAAAATCTGCTAGGTATTTCACTATTCATAATTGAATTGGGACTTTCGTCGATGAAACATTAAACCTCACGATATTACTCATTATCAAATAGACAGATTTTTGAATCTTTGCCAGATTCTGAATAAGAGCCAAAGCCTACCAATATTTCCAATCCCGTTGAGGACACTGATGAGACTTAAGCCAGGTCAGTATTTCACCCCGGGCTGAGTAAAAATTCATTTTTATAAGGAATAAAAATAAAAAATTTAACAACAACATAAGGACTTTTATCCTGTTTATAGTTGCAGATTGAGCTAAGGGTCTTTATTTCACATTAGGGTGACTAGGATTCATATTCAAAATATACTCATAATTAAATAACATATTTTTTGCTAAGTATAAACATGTAGGTTCCTACAAACCATGATGATTGACAATCGGCGACCAAATACTCACATGTAAGGAAGGCTTTCTATAGCAATCATTAGAGAAAATAAAAAGACATGGCTTTACTTGAGAGTCGTACCTAAAAATTTTTGGTTTAATCTTGACGCACTGATTAATCAAGTATGCAAGGAGCCTTTTTAAGACCAGAATGCCTCTAAATTGATCGCATTTGTTGGCGTTCTATCAACTGATTAACAAGATTCTTACATCAGAATTATATTTCGACTCGAAGACAATTTGGTCCTACCACTGAAAAAATTAAGATACTACTAATTATTCATAGGCGTCAGTGTTCGAATTAAGATTTACTATTGCAAATACAACTTTGCTTCATCAAAGCTCCTACCACAGAATATGATATGGGAAAATACCTGACCTTCACTAAAATTCATATTGGCCCTGTGACCTAATGGAACTTGTGGCACTGTGGTATAGTGGTTAACATGTCGAGGCTATACGCTGCACTGTCATGGTCAGAACCCCGCTGAGGAGGCATATAAAACTTAGGCGAGGTCGAAACTGCAGCCCGTACCTACCTGGATGAGAATACCTTTTTGGAAAAGCTATGCTGTAAAATGCAGTGGAAACGTAATTTCCACCCATATGCTTGTGGTAAAATTCAACTACTAGTCTGCTTATCACCTTATAGGAAATAGGTTGAATGCACTACCTATTTAAGTGGTATATTTGGTATACTCAGTGAGTCATACCAGCAAATGAGATAGGATCAAAGCTACACATCCAGCTAATTCTTTCTGGTAAAACGAAGCTAAGGTTGTATATAACTGACGTTTCCGTTAATGTGAAAAAAATAGAATTGTGTGATGGCTAAGATATTCTGTCTTAACTTAGAATATAACGAAACATATTTACCAATCGAAATATTCTTCCTAAACCGTGCTTGCCATAAATAAGTTTTGAATAAGTTGTTAAACGGCAGGTTCCTCTTCACAGAAAAAAATTGGCTTCAACTTTACTTATTATTTATTGTAGCATAAAATGATGATCCTGAAAGAGTTTATCTCAATCTTTGTTCCGGCCAGCCAAGGCAAAAATATTGGAATCATTGTTTGGCCAAGGTGGCCGGAAGTCTTGCCC